CCAAAAGCATTTCAAAAGCTTTTCAAAATCTTTAAGTTTTCTTGAAATCAATTTGAAAAGTATATGAACAACAATAAAAGAGAAGGAAAGAGAGATCAACACAAAGGTTTATACTAGTTAGGCCAAGTCTACATCCAGTCTTCCTTCAACAATCTTAGTTAAAGTGAACCACTATAATGATAGAGTTATACAAGGAAGAATACAAAGAACTCCTCTCTCAACTCTCCCTCCCAAACTCAATATCACTTACAACACAAGATGTGAACACCTCACAATCTCACAACCCAGAAAGTAATCCCAACTTTTTGTACACCTTGATAGCAATCCAACTCTCAATGCAGAACACACAAGTTCTCCTCTTGGCTCACAACTACATGAAACACAATCCTCTTGATTGTAGTGTAGACATTGATCCTCAAAGAGTACCCCTCAAGTGCATAATATGATCAGCAATGAATAAGCATAACTATCTTACAAGAATCTTGATGAATTTCTTTCCAAATGAATGATCTTGATTCTCCAAGAAGTCTGGGACGCTCCTACAATCGATACTTAACAAACAAGTCAGTTATAAAAGTGTAAGTACATATATTCGTATTGAATAAGCAAGCAACACGTCTATTTATAGAATTTTTCAAACCAAACGCAGTTTAATCGATTATGTTTTTAAAGTAATTTGTTAAGATTTTCTTTCGGCTTTAATAGTTTTACATTCGTTTCATATTTAAGTGATTAAATGGCGCATGTAATCGGTTAAGCAAATCATACAAGCCAACAACAAACACATACGACTGTTATAGGTACTTATGATTTTCAATGAAAATGATTAAACACTTTAACTGATTATGAAACTTATGTAATTGGTTAAGTTTCATACTTAAGCAAGTTTGAAAATCATTTTCCATTCTAAATACATCAATGCACTCAACAAACACATGCTGGCATATCAACGTTTTTTAATCGATTATACAACTAATGTAATCGGTTAAAACACAACTATTTTGCCCCTGTTAAGCATGTACTGAAATCTGAAGAAATTTAACAGATTATATATAAACAATTTAATCGATTATTTCTTCCAAATATACAAAGTGCAATATGTTTCAACTTATGATTCATTTTCATGTAATGAATGCATATAGCAATCATTTCAAGCACACACATAATAAAGATCAAGCAATAGTTTTGTCATTTGTTGTGCAAGAAACTACAAAACATTTTTGTTCATCATAAAAAACGCATATGTGAGATGGGTTTTGCTAAACATAACTCCCCCTATCAACAACCACGATGCCGATATTCGGTAGTCGTCAACTATTCTTACCACACCGAGTACACCTTGTGAAGACTCTTCAAACTCCTTCTAGCAAAGACTTCTCACTCTTAAAACCGAGAGAGGGTGTGTTTGCAGAATACCTTTTGATGCCCAAGTTAGTTGGGTGCGTCAGGTAGTAGTAAATGTTGTAATGATCACTATAAATTATTTACCTCGATGGTTGTACTATTTATAGGATGATCATAATGTTTACGAGCTCTCACCTACATGGGCATGGATGGGCCCAATGGCTCATTTACCTCATGATTCAGTTGTTTGATCCAAATTATGGTAAGTTATAGAGTAATACGCCATTAGTTTTGTTAGTCTGAAAGGTAGTCAGACAAACCTGCTTATGGTTGGGTAATGGTGGTCATATAGGTTGGCTTGTGGCGGAGTAGAAGTAGTCATATATTGTACTTATATGACCGACTTATGGTTGGGTAGAATCAGTCAGACATTGTACTTACAAGGCCGACTTGTGGCCGAGTAGAATCAGTGACATTATACTTATGAGGCTAGCTTGTGGCTAGGTAAAATCAATCACACAGGTTGTGGCCGAGTAGGTCAATTAGCTTTAGTAAGTGACACATGGTATTGATAGGAAGCACGTAGTCCTAATAAGCAACACCTAGCTATCAGCAGACGACACCTAGGTATCGATGGACAACATCAAGTCCTGGTTGGCAACACAAAGTCCTTAGCAAGCAACACATGACACTGAGCTAGCAGCACGTAACCTTCGGAAGGTAGTACTCAGCCTTCCGCATGCAACACATGACTTTTAGCAAGCAACAATTAACCTTCGACAAGTAACACTCAATCCTCAACAGGCAACACCTAACACTCACTGATAGAAGACACCTGACTCTCGATAGACAACACTTAGATATAGTAGTCAAACACTTAGTTATAATTAGTTATAATAGTCAACACGTTTTAATAGTTGGCACTATGCAATTAGTTTTTTCTCGCTTATGTTTCCATCCAATTATTTTTTTTAGTAACATCACTAACATTTCTAGTTGTTATTACTATCTACTACTATTATAACCATCATCATGTAATAATTTATTATTATATTAGACCCGTTTATTTTATTTTTCTTTAAAAAATACTAAAAATAAGTAAAGTTCCAAATTTTGATGTGTTTATCAACTTTATTCATGTAATCATTCAGTTATAAAATAAGTAGTTTTTTTTTTCGTTTTTTAAGAATTAAACCTTATTTGGTTTTTAAATTTAAAATATTAATTTTAAAACACTTATTTTAAGTTTAAATTATTAACTAATTATCTTCATTATTTTATATTTTATATTTTATTTGTCTTTATTATTATTATTATTATTATCAAAGTCATAAACTATTTAAGTTTATCACCATCTATCATCACTTTAAGTATAAATTAGTGTAGAAAGAATATACTATTATTATTTTTCATTATAATTTTCAGATCACTATAATTGTTTAATACATCCTATTATCTTTTCATCATTAATATTATTCTTTCGTTAAGTTGCATGAAACATGCACAATATACCGTCAATACCTTTTTCTTTTCTTTTGAACAAGCATAGTGTAATACTTTTTTTAAAATAAAATATTTTTCAACTGAAAATTCAAGACTAATTTATAAAAATACTGAGATTTTTGGGAATTTGTTCTTTGGTGTTATCTCAGTCCATATATTAAAATACTACAATAATGATTCTAATATATTAATTTTTTAAAACATTTTATTATATCAAAATTAATATATTTTAAAAATATAATAAAAGAATAATAAAAAATAAAGACGAAGTTAACTATTTTTTTATCACATTGGTTGTTAAAAAATAATAATTGTTAAAAGATATAAAAAGTTGCTTTAAAATAAAATATAAGTTCTTTTCACTTTTGATTTCACATCACAAACTTCTATGATACTACTACTAACTAATAACGTATGAAAAATGTTGCTGATTTTATTGTTTTTTAATTGATCATAAAGAACAGTGTAATTGTAACCTAATTATTTTATTGGAATTTTGTGGTGTAAGCTATAAAAGTCAATCTCAGTGGGGTTTGGTGTGTCTATTCTAACTATTTAAATTACTATAAAAAAAATCACTTAAACAAGTTGGGAAATTGACAAAAAAAAAGAATAATTGAATCCAAATACAAATACTTTGACCAAATAATTTATTATCTAGATGTTCACTTTTTTTCTATTAGGCCTCTTCTTTTGAGTGGATTTGAGGGGATTTGAAGATAAATTTTTTTGTTGTTTATTTGAGTGAATTTGGAGGTAAATGAGAGTGAATTTAGAAATAAAATTTGTGAGAATTAGTGTAGAATTGTATTGACGTGACAAATTAAAAAAATTTAGTAGATATAGATAAAACTTTTTTTTTTTAAAATTACATATACAGATGTGTTGTTTTTTTTCTATTAGTCTCTGTTTTAAATTAAAGATATATTTGTATTTATAATTTTTTATAATTTGACATTGAATTTTTAGTAATATTATATTAATTTTATTTTTTTTATAAAAACATTTAATAAATATATAGAGAAATAAGATTATATCTGTTATTCAAATACGTACAAATTTATATGTCAGTTAAATATTATAAATAAAAATAAATATGAAATCTTACTTTTAAATGAAACGAAGACTATTTTAAATGAAACGAAGACTAAGTAAAATGTAGTTTTCGTCTTTTCCAATCATTGAATAAGACAATTGAATAAGACAACGTTTGAATTTAAAGTTATCAATTTGAAATTAATGAAATTTTAATTTTTAGAATTATCAGTTTGACGATATTTTTATCTTATGTTAAAGACTTTTTCACCAACCATCCAAAATTATCTATAATTTTAACATTTGTAACTTTCTTAAAATAATTTATTTTTTCTATTTATAACTAGTGTAAACTTGTTTGTTTTTATTTTTTATATTAAAAAAAAAATTAAAACACTAAAAAAAGTTATCAAAATGGTTCACAATATTATAGGTAACACAAATAATAACACAATCTAAAGAATTATCACAATTTTAAAGATGAAATAGTAAGAAAATATTGATGAAAAACAAATACAAAAAAATGTTATAGATGTACCATTAATTATTAATTTTCTATCACAAATGATCTTAATCTTAATAATTAGAGTAAATACAATATATAGTTATTAAAAATAAAGCCATTTTAATAAAATTGTGTACATGAATATTTATTTATTATTCTTAATCTATTAATAAAAAGAATATAATAAATTCTTAAAATGTATATAAATAAATTGTGATGGAGGGGCAATTTGCTTTGATTTTATTTATTCTTTTTACTCTGACAATGATGAGTTGTTATCATTTATAACTTTGATGTGTATAGATTAATTTAATCACTGATTATTAATTTGTGATATCAACCAGTGGTGTCAATTTCGATAACTAAATTATTCTAAAATTGTGAAGGTCAGAAACTAAATTTTCTGAGTCTTTTTAGAACATCATAGACTAAATGAATTGACTTATAATTTTAATGATTTACCTTATGATATGATTCCAGAATATTCCATTAAACACATTCAACAGCTTTGGCAGTTAACATAAGACAAGAAACATCATATTATTAAAAGAAAGTGTTACCATTTCAAGTCTCAATTTCTTGGTTTAAACTAAAACAACATGTGTGAGGCGGCTAGAGAGGTTTGACTAATTGAGTTGATAATTGAAATGAAAATGCTCTCAAAAATTGAAAGTAGAAACACCCTTTTTGTGTTGACGGAAATTGCTGTTAGAGTTTGATTGTATGAAAAAAATCCTCGTCATGACAGTGACTTCTTATTTATGAGGTGGACATTGTCTGAAGGCACGGTTAGGTTGATGCATTTAATAGAAAATGTGTCTGATGAGACCATGAATTGCTGTTACTCACGTTCTTTGTTCTTTTATGTGTGAGACAACCATGTAATGAATTTTGGGGTGTCTGGGTGGTGTTCTTGTTTGAGACCTGGGAAAGGTTTCATATAGGAGAAGCTTCTTCACCAACAAGGATTTGAAGCTTTTCACTGTTTCAACATTCAACTAAGCAGGGGTTTGACTGGTAAGTTGAAAAGCCTCCTATGGTTGTTTTTTTGTTTTGTTTTAATTTGTTTGTTTGGTCTGTTTAAGTATATGGATTTCTGAATTTTTATCACACTCTCGTCCCTTTGTCCATGGATCTTTGAAATTTCCTTTTTTAATCATTTAAAGTTGATAATTACACACTGAGTTCTTTCTGGGGATTGTTTACAGAGTTGGGAATTTGGGATTAGGTTTTTTGACTCATGCATAAAGAGAAGAACTTTGTCCTGTGAAATTCAGAAATTAAATTGTTTTAATTTGGAGCTTGAAACCCTTGTCCTTGATTTATCAGGTTATTTGTAAAATTAATGGAGGTTGCTTTCTCTTTAAAACAAAAATAGTTCCTAAAACACTCATTGTTTTGTATATTTCTAAGATTTCACTCTATAGATAAGTTTTATAGTATCAGTTATATACTGTTAGACAATTTTGCTTTATGTTAATTGATTTTAGCTTGAAATATGACACTGTAACCCTACTTTGTTATGACCTACGTAAGGATAAGACATATTTAGGAAAACTTCTCTATAAATGCTTCAAAAGAGAAGTAAAGCAATAAAGAAAAAAAAAATAAGTATTTTGAAAAGACAAAGTTAGCTTATGCATAAGCTAATTTATAAAAGTTTGATTTTAACTTATATATATATATATATGTTGATTTTCGCTTAATAGAGAAGTTTATTCCATTTTCCTATCTTACTTTCTTCTCTTAAAAATACTTATGAAGAAGTTTATCCTAGTAAGTCCTTAATGTGGTTTAGAAATTTATTGCAAGTGTTTTGACATGAAGCTGTTAAATTTTGTTATTTTTAGTGCCTGCAAGTAACTTGATATTCTGATAGAACATTCATTTTGTTTCTTTTCGGCTGTTACAGATAACTTACATCCTTATTCGTAGGGAAGAGAGATGGAAAAAATTCTGGAAGCAGATGCAAATACTGTATCTCAGCGTTCCTCATCTTCTTCAGTTGTTGCTTTGGCAATCAAGGGTAACAAGAAAAGCAAATATGTGGTACAGTGGGCACTGAATAAGTTTGTTCCCGAGGGAATGATTATCTTCAAGCTGATACATGTTTATGCTACTATAAAAGGAGTTCCAACGCCATGTAATGTATTTTTATGTTTAATGTGTTCAATAAAGTCTGAACTTTATGCATATATTACATTGGGAAACTTCTACAAGTAATGATAACTGCATCAGTCGCACTTGTATCCTGAAGAAGTTTGTTTAGGTGGTCTGGTCTATTTGTAAAGGACTATGACTATCCAATTAGCAGTCTTGCATTGAGCCTCAAAGTTAGGGAATTTTCATATCTGCATAACTTTTGTCAACATGACAAAACTTTAGAACGTGATTTTGGGCCATGTTTCTGTTCTGTTTTCATTTTAATACTTAAGAGTTTTCAGCTGGAAAACATAAGTACTTAATTATATGGGTTACTTAAGTTTTTCTATAGAATAAGTAATTTGATAATGCACAAGTGAAGTGACATCTGGTAGAAGATGGATATGAATTAGCAAAAGATTATTTCGTTAGGATAATATAACATTTTTGTATTTCCAGTGGGAAATGTGATCCCTCTTTCACAAGTGCGTAATGATGTAGCAACTGCATTCAAAAAGGAAGTGGAGTGGCAAACAAACCAAATGCTGCTACCTTTCAAGAGATTGTGTGAGCAAAGAAAGGTCAGATATGATAGATCATGTAGATTAATACAATATAGGATTTGTTTTCTGATAGTGTTGGTGCAGGTGCATGTGGATGTTGTACTGATTGAATCAGATGACGTGGCTATTGCAATAACAGAGGAAGTGGCTAAGGGTGCTATCACCAAACTTGTTGTTGGAGCTTCATCTCGTGGCATATTTAAAAGGTATTTGCTGATATGTTGATGCATAGTTCAATAAACCAGTACTTCTGCCAAGAAAAATGATAAGTACTTAAACACTTCAAAAGCTAACTATTAAGGGGAGAGAATCAAACACTTCAATACTCCACCAAGCATCACATACTACTTTGTGTAGGATTTGGACACTCTCTAATACCCAAGTTTTGTATCATAATCTAATCACACATGAGTCCTTAAATTGGATATTGGGATTTAAGAGGACTGTTGCTTTTACCATTAATTACTATTTGTTGGCTGATCACAAATTGTACTTCATTTTTTTCTTTTTAACTATGAAGAGACCTAGCTTCGATCTCCTAACCTATATCACTGCATAGTTGATTATGAATATTTCTGGTATGAAAAATGCTATGAACATAAACTTTTTAAGCACCTTCTTTTTATTAGAACAAACTTCTAGGGAATCACAAAATTATGTGAAACTCACTTCCTATTGAATGAGTTTCATTTATGATTTTCAATAAATTTCAACCAATAATGGTGTGTTAAAAAATGGTTATTATAATACTCCTTTTTTGAAGTATGATAGGAACACTTGAGGTTGCTTTACCAATAAAATTCAAAATAATGAAATGTATCTTACCTAGACATTTTAGTATGAAATTAGGTTAAATACTCCATGCTAAATAGTGATTGTTCCCTAAACTTAATGGCTCTGTAGTCTCTAATCTCTCCTTGCACTTTAGGACTGATTTTGTCCCTTGTGACAACTTTGTGATCAGTGACAAATTTGATGATATAGGTGAATAAAATAAAATAGGCAAAGTTATCTATTAAAAAACACAACTATATTTGTAAATAATTGATCTTGTACACTATTTTTTTGTCTTTATTTGTTCAAAATGTGTAATCTCCTAGAGCATTATTATAGGTTTTTAAATTTTAAGGCCTGCTTAGAATGACTCATTATAAAAGATTTTATATTTTTACTTAATTGTACTTCTGATCTTCTAGTTTAGATTTTTGTTTTCCAAGTTTTCTTTGAATAAAGGAAGTCCCTCTATTTTTAAATTAAACAAATTTAGGCTTGTTGTCAAATTTTTTCTACCTGAAATTTCCAAAATATTAACTTCTATTCAAATATTTGGGGATTTGTGATGGATTTGGGATATGAACAAATTTGGAAATTTATAAGTCACATATCTAGTGGGAGCTTAATAAAATTTGAAGGGTTTAGTAGGATGTGAATTTAGGATCAAAAGAGAGAAGATTTGGAATTTTTTATTTTTGTTGAAATTAAATACTTAGGTAGTAAATTTTGGGTAAAAGAAAGTTTAGAACCATTTAAATGATTTTGTTTGTGATGATTTTCAGTTGGAAGTAAGAATTTGAGAGATATAAGTAGAAAGAAAGTGATAGAGGGACTAATTATAACAATTGAAGACATTCAAATTGTCTGTAGGATGGTTTTCTTTTTCTGGTGTGCTCTAAGATAACTTATTGACCAAAATGATTTGTATAAGAACCTGAAAGTTAGTATTTCTTCCAACTTTTGTACATGATATGATGAACCATGGAAGCAGCAAACTTTTCGTAAAACTTCTATGACCAAAATTTTGTTGCAGACTAGATTTAATGTCAATGTTATGATGAGAAAAAAGATTACCAATTCTGTGTTCTAATTTAGGATGGATATTTTGTTAACAATTTTTAACTTTGCCGACAAATTCAGAAGAGTTCTTCCTTCTTGTTTCTTTGTAGTTTGCCTGGACAACTCTGAATTGAGGTGTTTGAATTACCTGAACTAGAACTTCAATTTAATTGATAATAATATTCATGATAAAAACCATTTCTGCGCTTCTCTTAATACTTAGCCTATACGATGATTTTGTTCAATATATGAATATTTAGAGCATGGTTACTTATGGATTTTTAAACTGAATTTAATGATGAGCCTGGAATATTTTACAGTTTGTATCAGTGTTGAGTACATAATGTTTCATTTCAACCAACTATCTTGTGGTCTCTATCTGATTATATTCCCCCTTTACTAATGTATTGTTTTCAGTAAACAGAAGGGTATATCTATGAAAATATCAGTAAGCACTCCAAGATTTTGCACAGTTTATGCTATTTCGAAGGGAAAATTGTCCATACGACAGTCAGACATGCCTATTGATGGAAGCATAGTAGATGATGCTAGTGAAACCAGTTTGTCTTCCAGCAGCTCATCTAACTACACTTCCACCTCTCAGACAGGTCTACTACTACTAGTAACTTCTGCAAAACTATGGTTTAGAAATTTGTAAACCCTTAATAAGTTATGAGATCATATTTAAATTCTTAAATTGCTATCATCATGTCAGCATAGGTACATATCCAATGCCTGAAATTTTCCAATTTGACATTCTTGTGTTCCAGCATTGTTAGTACACAGATAGGCACCTGCTCATATGTCTCCTGTAAATGGTAGACATTCACATTATTCTTCAAATCGTAATTTCCAATGACTCCCCATCTGGATTATTAGAAATAAGGAAATATAATAAGAAATCATCTATATTTAAACTGTGCCACTATATTTTACAGTTCTACTGTGATATTTAATGTTCATATTACTCACCTACATTGCAAATAAAGGCAACACTATGAGGAGCTTGGTTTCAAAGATATGTTTATCTCTTCTCAGAAATTCTAGCCTGTGTTGCATCATGAAAACATCAAAATTGACTATCCCCTGTGTAGTATAATTATTATCATTTTTGGATGTATACAGAATCTGCATCAGTTTCATCATATGCTGGTTTACACTCGTCTTCCCTAGCAACACAACGATTTCAAGCTCTTTCAAGTATAAATAGTTAGCTCATACATCAGGTGATGGTACCCTATTGGAAAACATAGACATATGTATACATGATTTAACATCGGATGGAAAAGTGTTCATTCCTTTTTTTTTTTATTTAATTTTCGTTCTATCCTATACTTGACAAGTCTCCAGCAACACAAATTTTATCTTCCACTAGAACCAGTTTTTTCATGCAAATGTAAAACTACAAATATGTTGTGCACAATCGAAAATTTTATTAATATGCAATCCTTCATAAAAAACTTTATGTTGCTTGTCATATAGCTATTGCTTGAGCAAATTCTAGATAGATACAACTCCAATTTGCAAGTGAACTTTCTTTTTGATCATTTATTTTATCAGGCAAAATTGAACCTTGAGCTGGAAAAGTTGAGAATTGAGCTAAGACATGTCGAAGGACTTCATGTAGTAGCTCAAAGTGAGAAAGTTGAAGCATCCCGGAAGGTAACATCTGTTTTCTTATTGCCAAAAACACTTTCTTCTACCTAATAAGTACAATAATTTAATGGGACCCCTGCACCCTAGCATACCTAAGTTGTTTCCTTGTTAGGTTCTTTGCTTTGACATCCATAAAGATACATTACCCTATTATAGCAATTGGAAGATGAAGTCACCTTCCATATGCGTGCAACTAAAATCATTGCTGGTATTGTCAAATGGAGTAACATCATTTATTGTTTTGAACAGCTGAATGACCTTAGCAAGAAACGGTCAGAAGAAAGCATAAAAATGAAGGAGATTATTGCTAAGGAGGAGAAGGCAAAAGAATTTGCAAAACTAGAAATAGAGAAATATCAGGATGCCTCCAGAGAAGCTGTATATATGAAAGAATGTGCTGAAAGGGAGGCTGTGGAAAGGAAAGAAACAGAGATGAAAGTGATCCGTGCCACAAAAGAGAAAGAAAAGTTGGAAGGTGCTCTTAGTGGTAATATACTACAGTACCGGAAGTTTACATGGGCTGAAATAGTCTCAGCTACTTCATCTTTTTCTGAAGATCTGAGAATTGGAATGGGAGCATATGGAACAGTGTACAAGTGTAATTTGTATCACACAACTGTTGCCGTTAAAGTTCTCAACACTAATGGAAATCGTGAAAGCAAGCAATTCCAACAGGAGGTATGAATTCTATAAATAAAATAGTAAAGCAAAAATATGTTCCATAATATGAGATAAAAGAATAAGTATATAGCTTCAATGTTGCAGGTGTTTATAGCATTTCAGTCGCAAGTTTGGATTTTCTCATTGATGTATCAAAGTTTATAATCCTAATTCAAATATAATGGTTAGGGTTGGGCAAAAATCCAAATAGTCAAATCTAATACATATTACTTTATGTCAATTTTAACACAACCAAGTTAGTTGTAAGACTGGAACAGAACCAGACAAGAATATTAAAAATAATTATAAGACTGGAACTGAACCAGACAGCAATATTAATTTATATCTTTTCTTTTGTTCTAGTTAGAGATATTGAGCAGAATTCGTCATCCAAACTTGCTGCTTCTTCTGGGTGCATGTCCTGATCATGGATGTCTTGTATATGAATATATGGAGAACGGTAGCCTGGAAGACAGACTGCTGAGAAAAAACAACACATGCCCAATCACATGGTTTGAGAGATTTCGAATAGCTTGGGAAATTGCATCAGCTCTTGCCTTTCTTCACAGCTCAAAGCCAGAACCTATCATTCATCGGGACTTAAAACCAGCAAACATCTTGCTTGGTCGAAACCTTGTCAGCAAGATTGGTGACATTGGACTTAGTACAGTACTCCATTCCGATAATTTATCTACCATGTACAAGGACACAGCACCTGTTGGGACACTCTGCTACATTGATCCTGAGTATCAAAGGACTGGGTTAATATCTCCAAAATCTGATGTCTATGCTTTTGGAATGGTGATCCTACAATTATTGACAGCAAAACCAGCAATAGCACTTGCTCATAAGGTTGAAACTGCAATTGAAGGTGGGAATTTGACAGATATATTGGATCCAGAGGCAGGAGCTTGGCCATTTAAAGAGACACTAGATTTGGCTTTGTTGGGAATGAGCTGTGCAGAACTTCGGCGTAGAGACCGGCCTGATTTAAAAGATCAAGTGCTTCCAATACTTGACAGATTAAAAGAAGTTGCTGATAGGGCCCAACACTCTGCTTCAACTGTTACTATTAAATCCAAACCTCCTAATCACTTTATCTGTCCAATTCTTCAGGTAATCAAATACTCCATATGTGACAATAAATTGATTTTCTATGCCACAATAATTAAATGTAAAACCTACTCATTTGGGTAAACATATTTTAGTGACAACAAACCCAACCTTTTTCCTTATGATAAGGTTGGATACGTCAGATAAAAAAATGTCATAATGTTACTTTAGGTTTAATTACTACTTTGGTTCTTATGCTTGTATTGTTTCTACATTTTGGCCTTAATACCTAAAAGCTAAACATTTTGGTTTGTGCATATACACTTATAATTGATCTCCTCTGTTAAGTGTGTCCAAAGAGCTAAAACCACCACAAATTTTATAGTGCTTGTTAAACCACAAGAACTTGTCACTTTAGCAACAAATTTGTGATAATTTAATAACTTCCCTAAAAAATCTGTAACAGCTCTACACTGTTAATATTGATTTGTGATGGTTTTATCAAATGGTAGGGCCAAAACAGAACTAAATGTTCACATGTAGAGACTGAAAGGTCAGGTTTTTAGGTACAGAGACTGAATGTAAAAACCTCAGATAGTAAAATATCAATTTATAAGCAACGTTTTGAATGATTCCACCTGTAGATTCTGGTAAACAGTCTTCACAAAAACATAAGGAACATTCTGTCCGTGTTAACTAGTTACCATCATAGCTTTAGCCAAACGTTGTTATCCAACTGTCTTGTCAATGTCCTTGAAGATGTCTGTTGTACTTTATTGATGCAGGATGTGATGGATGATCCTTGTGTTGCTGCTGATGGATATACATACGATCGCAAAGCAATTGATAAGTGGCTTGAAGAGAACGACAATTCACCAATGACAAACATAGCTTTACCTCACAAGCATTTAATTCCTAATTACACACTTTTGTCAGCAATTTTGGAGTGGAAGTCCGCAGAATCATGATATCAGCAGCATTTTCTTTCTCCATATTGATATTAAGACCAATATTTCTCTGATTTAGGGTTCTTAGAAACATGTAGCAGTGTCTTGGATGCAGATATTTTTTGTAGTTGTAGGACCTAAGAATGCTGTTTGATTAATTTAGGTAGATTGATTTTCAAGTGTAGATAGATTTGATTCTACTGTCTGACTCTCTATACACTTACCCATGTCAATCTTGTTCTTAGTATAAATAAATAAAACAAGAATCATATTTTTTTGTATACATTTGAGTTTAGTAAGTGTATTATAATGAATAAAACACTCATTTCAAGTATTTAATGCAGTTGGACGTGTAGGATTCAAATTGTTTAAGCTGGAATAACCCTTTGATGGTTCATCCATGTTGGACGAATTATAAGAACCATTTTTACACTCAAGACAAGGGAAAGCTAGAGGAATCCACATAATAATCAGATACACGATACAAAGTTGTGTATTTAAAAATAATTTTGCTTGCTTAATTTAGAGCTCTAAGGAAATAGAATCTATATTATCATTTTTAGTATTTTACTGTTTATGTTTTTATATTTATATGATATATATTCTCTTAACAGTTTTTAAAAAGTCTTAATATAAAATAAGACTGTTTGTATAGATGCAAGTGTTAAAACACTTACATTTTTTTATTTACAGAAAGTAGTGCAATATATACATATATTTTTCGTATGATATTTTCTTATAAATGAAAATATTAAACAAAAATCAACTAACAAAGGAAACTTATACAAATTTTGTAAAAGTAATAAACACTCTTCCAGAATGCATTTTTACATTCGGAAAATTTTGTCTCACACCAGTCAATCCAAAAGATAGAATTGAAAGAGATGTAATAAAAAATATCATGTTAATCATTATTATACATTATTTTGACGTTTTATACTCACAACCCAAATAAAAAACCATAATAAAAAAATACAAGCTTCAGAAATGTGAAATTGGTACCTATATATAAGAAGAGATTTCTTATATACTAAGTTAAAATAATCTTTTAGAGCCAGTTTTAATTCTTAAACCGTAAATTTTTGAGACAACTATATTTTTTAAAAAATAAATGAAAATGACATCTAAAATGTAAAGGTTCATACAATGACAATATTAAACTAACTTCTATTAGATGTTGATGGTACAAGAATAATGACGTACATAGAAAATCATGATGTAAACAATCAAGCCTTCTTCCATTTATTGCAATTGCCAAAAGAAAATCATGAACGAAGCACAAAAAATATATATTACAATGTATAAAAAATTTCCCTCCATAGTTACAAGTCCCAAACCTTCCACTTAACGGCGTAGTTACATTGTAAATAGATATATACTATATACAAGGCCATGGTGTTAACTATGCTTTCATCCTGGTTCCTGTTAATGGCATAGCCACAACAACTTAAAGCAAGTAGCTATGTCCACAATTAAACTTCGGGACCAGATGCAAACATGGATACAAGACCTCTAAACACTTGAGCTGAAAGCTGGTGTGCCTGGAAAATCTCTCCATCAACATTCCATACACTCTCATCACCCGAAGAAGTGAAAGTAAATGCAGGGGTCTGCAAAAGCTAGACAAAATTAATAAATTATCCATGGTCATGCTTGGAGGTGGTGTGGTGTGTGGATTATGGAAAAACCAACCTTATGATGTTCAACAAACTTAAAATTTAAGGGGCTTCCCCCTCTTCTTGTAAGTTGAGTCAGATGCCTGCATCATATTGTAAAGAAAACAAAAAAGGATATTGTTACTAAATGTTTAACCTATATTTGATTTCTGTAGAAATAATGAGACAAACATAAAATACAATCATTTAAACTATATAACATATATGAGAGCAGAGCGTATGAATTTTTAAAATAAAAAATTAAGGTTCCACATAAAAGAGTATCACTAAACTTTTTCATGATTCAGTCTTCACAAACACGTCACAAGGTTGTGCAAAAGATTATTATTAGTCAATGGATTGCATACATTTAATGTAAAATTATTTTTCTTCAATTCAAAAGTTCCATTAGCTCAATTGAGCAGATCCTACATGTAAAAAAAATTCCGAGGGTTCAAAAGATTGATGTGATATGGCATTGGAATGCAAGATTTCCAAACATACGATAGATAAAGATTTCTTTCTTCGTAGTAAAGAACAGATTCAAACTTTACAACAGATTTACTGACTTTGATAATTTCACATGCATAATGTAGAAAGAAGACAGGTGGTGTTTACCATAAATAAGAGGCATGGGGACAGTCTCTGATCAATATAAGATGAAGGAAACCATCTGACAGGTGTGCATCAGCCACCAATCCATCCGATGCTTTTTCATTTCTGCAAGAGATTACAGCAGCTCCTACACTAAGAAAATGTCCCTTGGATCTTGCCCATCTTGTTTCTTCTGAATTCAAATGAGGTGTGAGGCTGCAAACTCCAACAGATGCATGATTTGGCTTTTCATTACAAACATTGCAATTAGTTCGGCAGATACGTCTTTCTGATATTTGTGAAGACCTTATTGCCCGTATCAAATTACCCTGATAATCTCTTTTGGAAGTTAAATTGATTTCATCTGATTCAACATCTAGGTATGCTATTTCTGCCTCATATGACCTGAAGATATGCATGCAAAGGCCAAGTTAAATAAGAAAGATGTTAAGTGTCAATAACAAAGGAACAACCCTATTAGTTTGTGCATAAAAAATGTCAACTATTACCACAAGAGGTCTTTAACCATTTTTTAAGCTTGTTTGATAAAAAAAGATTCATTCTCTTCATAAAAGAGATAGAAGTCGAACTAACAAGGAGTAATTCTTTGATTTGTCCATGGAGTTGAATAACTCGGTAAAGAAAAGTTTATGATCCAAATCAAAGGATTCAATAGAAAGAGTAACCCTCATAATACACCAACAAAAACCGATTTCATGGTTACAATCTTATATCCTAAGAGATAAGGAAACTGTGCATATTTCATCCAAGACAATGTTATGTCCCCAGAGTGCTTAAGGAAATAAGGCAAGTAATACTCAGAGACAACCAGAGACTCTCTAAATTATTCTAAAATACAATGAAGATCTTAATGGATATCTTTCATGTATGCCAACTAATGGAACCTATAAGAAAAAAAACATATATTTTATGAGCATGGCATCTCCAGCTGTGGTTCAAAACAAAGAAAGAATACACATTACATAGTTCCCATATAACAGACAGAATAAGGGAATAAAGTAAGAAAAGTATGGAATTCAAGAAAGGAATTTACTTAAGATTACCTGTGCTTTAAAAATACCATTGTTCCGGCATAATCATAACGTGTGGGACCCATCCAACGATACTTCTCACTCTCTGTGATGACATCACCATAAAATCCATACCTGATACCAATAACGTAGGATATAGTATTACTAAATCTCTATAACAATTAAGAATTAATTTGTAGTATATGCAAGATGATTATGTAGTACATGCCTCAATGAGTTTTAGATTGAAAACAGCTTCTTGGACAAGAAAAATTTCAACTATTATATGCTAAAAAGTACAGCGTAAAGGCGGAAAAAGCTTCACATTTTATATCTCCATTTGTGAAACTAACCGTGAACATTTTCCAACTGAGTATGCAAAAGATGCACATTTAAAGATGAATAAAGACAAACCTTAATTAGTTATCAAAACAAAAATGTCATTCAAGGTTTGGCAGTGCAATGAGGCTGGCAGATTAAATGTGCTTTTACTATATTCAGAAATGCTCTCCCCCCTATTCTCTCAGCTAGTGGTCATGTGCAAGTAAATTCAAGACCCATCCCAAAATTATATCTATAAATTGATTGAGATAAAGAAAAAAAAAAAAGACATTAATATATTGGTCCTCTTAGGAAAAAAAATTCAAAATTCAATGCTGTTACTAATCATTGAACATATATGTTGTTGAAGATATTATATCGATTAGAGATATAACCACATTTAGTATATATATCGGTGCAAACTTCTTCTTAAGAACTAGTTTTGTGAGGTTGACTTACATTTAAAGTCCACCTTCAAAGATATCTGAAAGGGAAAACCCCTTTGAAAATACCACAAGCTTTACACTATGCAAAACCTAATCACTGTGAGGAGAGCTTAGGACTTCAAAATAGGTTTAGTAAGGACCAAAACTCAAAGTATAGTTAGCAAACTGAAATTGTAAAATTTTAAGGAATCAAACCAACAAAAGCTTGTCAATTTAATTTCCTCAACTACCATACAGCACTTGTTGTGACCCTTAACAACAACAATTACAGACATTGGAAATGTTTGAATATTAAGCCACAAAATATGCTTGAAAGATAAAACATTTGCAACTAAAATACGCTAAAATCAAGATTTAGAATTGTCTTCTTTTTATATTTAAAGCACACATAACAGAAGAATTACCCTGAAAAGGAAGCTGCATAGCGCACATTAGGTTCAACCTCAGAACTGGGAGTCATTTTCCACCGTACAACTTGAGCTATGTCAAGGTGCACCCTCTTACCAAGGACAATATGCAATGCAGAAGTAATAGGATCCCGAGTTCCAGTGGTACTACAAAATACATAGTGTTGTATTCAGAGTTTCACATAGCCCATGTGAATTGTATCATAAAACTTTAAGGTTACACAGAAAAATATTTGCTACACAAATCTAAGGTGCATATAATTTTCAAATATGTATATTAGGATTTTATAAAAAAACTAGAATATCTTTAGTGTATCTTAGACTATTTTAGAATATATCAAAGATCTTTAGAATATATTGAGGAATAAACTAGTTATCTAATTAATGTTTAAAATTGTTTCCTAATTTTATGATTTACCTCCTTTATTCAGGATTAGTAGTTTTATTGAAATGAGGCTTGTAATAGCAATACTACACTAGTACTTGTGTTATGTAACAGTTAGTTATGAAAGGTTAGCTACCCATTGGTTAGATAGGAGTTGCCTATAAATAACTAAGAGGGAGCAAGTCGTCTTGGGAATTCTTTGGGACAGAACCAGGTCACTCAAATACTGGAGTGTAACACGGTTTCCCATCAATAAAGATAATTTCTTTGGCTCAGCCCATTCTGTATTAAGGGCATTGGTCCATATCTTACATTATAAATAAACTACCCTATGTGTATACAAAAGACACAAGGGATATTTTCTCCCAATCTTCTCTATTTCTCACATGGTATCTAGAGCATAGGATTAGTTCCAGCCAACTCCACGGTCTCCGGCACACAT